CCCCGCGCCCGCCCCGGCCAACGTGCCGCGCGACGCCGCGTGGCGGCGCAGGCGGCTCTCCGACCTGCAACACACACACACACACACGCATCACATCAAAAGAGCGGGCCTCATGGCCCGCTACGTAAAACAAGGCAACGCTGCGCCATTGATGCACACTGTTAGGGTAGAATTCATCAAGTTTTAGCGAGAGAATGTCTGGTGCGAAATCTTATGTAGCGATTACTCATGTACACACACTGTCATTATGGGTGCCCCTACAGGGTCTCTGATTAATTGTTACAGCTTTCTAGGGCATTTTGCCAAGGCCGGCATTCATCATTATTTGTCAGTGGAGGTTCAATATATCACGAAGTTCCTCACGTAATATTTGCCTCTGATTGGTTCTAACGCGTTCAAAGATATTTCGTGAAATCTCCTCACATCAATGTCAGATGTGTTGTTTACAAATCGAGACAAGTAGCACTTGTGAAACTTCAAGTGGGAGAGATAAGGGGAGAGTGAAAAGGGAGGGAAAGAGTGATGGCGAGAGGGAGGGAGCAAGGGGAGAGGAGGAGAGGTAGAAGAGGGAGAGAGAAAGAGAATGAAGAAGAGAGGTAAAGGAGGGAGAGAAGGAAGGCGGGAGGTAGAAGAGGGAAAGGGAAAGAAGGAAGGAAGTAGGGAGATACAAGAGAAAAAGAAGGAAGGAGGGAAGTAGAAGGGGGGAGGGGAAAAAGTGGAGAGAGATAGAGGGCGTGAAGGATGGAGAAGATAGGGGCAGAGAGAACGAGAGGAAGGTGAGAGAGAGAGAGGGAAGAAGAGTGGGGGTGAAAGATGGAGACAGGAGAGGAAAAGTGGCAAGAGAGGAAGGGAGAATGAACGCGAGGGAGAGTGAGAGGAAGAGAGAGAGACAGGGGGAGGAGAGAGAGTGGGGAAAGAGAGTGAGAGGCAGGGGAGAGAGTGGCAGAGAGGAGAGAGAGAGTGAGAGATAGGGGAGAGGAGAGGGAGGGTAGGGATACAGCGAGTGAGAGGCAGAGTTGATGAGAGGGAATGAAGGCAAGAAAGAGGGAGAGAGTGGCAGAGAGGGTGTGAGGGGCAGGAGAGAGGAGAGGGAGAGTGGGGAGAGGGAGGGAGAGAGAGGGAGTGAGAGGCAGGGGGAGGAGAGAGAGAGAGAGTAGGGAGAGGGAGAGATAGGGAGGGGGCGTGGGCGCTCGTACCTGTGGACGACCCAGAAGATGCGCGCGTAGCAGGCGACGATGACGGCGCAGGGCGTGAGGAAGGCGATGACGAAGAGCGCCGTCTTGGCGCTGCGCCCGCGCGCGTCCGCCAGGATGGAGCACGTGCCCAGCTTCTGGTCGTACCCGAAGCGCCCTGCAACAGCCCGCGTGCCTTCCTCTTTCCACACTGCCTTCGCAACTTTACCTTAAATACTGCCTCCTTTGGAATTATAGACACTGCAATTACCTGTGCAAATATAGATTTTATTTATTATTCTCTTTAAAATAGCTACTAACAAATGATGCACAGCTTTCTGAAAGGGAAAACTACAAACTTCGAGGGCACGCAGTCCGGGATAGCTTTTCACTAATGAACATGCGGTGGGAAAGTTACACGTGTGACACTCGCCGTTTGTTGATATGCAACCCATCAAAATTTGTTGTTATGCTTGTTTTTGATATCTCTTTAACTGCGTCAGAACTGGAAATTCCTAACACAACCCCCGGGACGAGTTGCCTTCATATAAGAAGCACATATCAAACGTTTGTTACATGAAAATTCCAACTAGGTATTCTTTGGCAAAAAGTGATATTCTTCCACACCTCAACATGGGTAAAAAGTTAGGTGTGTATATTATTGTAACTCTCCCCACACACCGAAGAAGTGTATGCTCACTATTTAATTTCTCAGTATATGGGAGTTGAGTTGAGATTTTGAGTACGGCGATTTTGACATCTAAATATTATTAAAACCGATGCCAATACACAGTTAAAAGAGCGATGTTCCAAACATCTTCCAACAGTTGTAACATCTACCTAATGATAGCTCTGGTTGTATGTCAAGAATAAGAATTTATAGAGCTTTTATTGATTTCCCGAAAAAAATTGATATTTAGTTATTTCGGCTCACTTAAGTCTGCGTAGCCTTCGGGTAGTAGCTATTTGGGTATAAATCAGTAGCTATTTGGCTGTCCGAAAGATGCCGCGCCCCAGGCCCAGGTGGCAACGTCTGCATTTCGCCCTGAAGAAGGACGCAGAATCGCAGGCGAAACGTTGGCACCTGCGTCTGCCGGACAGCCAAGTAACTCGTCCCGAGTGCATTTCGGTGGCAAATTGACGGTGGCGCTGGCGCTTTGGTCGCGAAGGAGCGCTGGCTCACCCCAGACGCCGAAGAGCGTGGGCAGCTGCATGCCGAAGGAGAAGACCCAGCAGAAGGCCACCATGAGCGCCAGAGGCACCGGGCGGTAGGCGCGCGCGCACGCCGCCGGGTGCGCGATCATCACGTACCTGCAGCACACACCCCTCCGTCACACACATGCACAGGCACCTGCAGTACATCATCACACAAACAACTACGAGTGGAAAACGTGTCATCCACACGAGAGAAAGAGAGAAAGAGAGAAAGAGAGAGAGAGAGAGAGAGAGAGAGAGAGAGAGAGAGAGAGAGAGAGAGAGAGAGAGAGATACTACAGTGGTATTACTGCAGTATTACTGCCTTGTCCAAATTAAAAATCTCGCCTCCGCGGCGCTGAGTCTCGATTTTGTTTTTTGGCCTCTGCAGTAATAATACCCCTAACATTATTAGGTACGTTGATAACTATTTCGTAATACTGTACTGTAATAAATACGATCAAAAAGCCACTTCTAACAGCGTTGTCTCGGTTCCGAGCAGTTTCCTTTAATTACTCTGTTACAGAACGACGTTAATAAACTTACTAATTTCCAATGCGTACAGGAATTGAAAGAAAAATGTTCCGCCTCCGGCCATCTGTGAAGTGTCTATAGTTTTGTTAGATGTCCAAGAATTCGAGAAAAATACAAAACAAAAGAAACATATTCGATGTTGTCTGAAAAATGCAGATGTTTGGGTTATTTCATATATTCTCTTTCTATGTGTCTATGAAGTTCTCATACTCAGTGTGTCTCTGCTTACGACACAGCTGTCGTAATACGACTGCAAGGCTCCATGGAAGGTGCCGGTGTCATTATATATTTTCTATTGCGTTATGAAACATTTACTTTTTTGTTATTATTGCATTAATTTTTTGTTAATGTTTGTATTCTTGGAATGTAAAGAATTGTACTCTATTTGCACTGCACTATGTTATTGCGGTAACCGTGAAATTTGCATTGCTATACGATGCGTGATATATTATATTTTTCTTTATTGAGCAGGGTACATGATTCGTTTGGAAAATCAATTTTTGTGGTTTTGTTCGGCATAATTTTTCCTGCTGCAAGTCGCTAGTTTTATTTTATTTATTATTAAAAACTTGCGAACATATGGCGTTGCGACACACTCACATTGAAGTAAACAGCGACCTTGACACTATCTGGCAAATGAATCTAGCCAAGCAGCTTTGTCGTCTTTTTCAGTTGAGATAAAGATTTGGAATGCGGAAACGATTTTTACAGCTTTTTCATAGCCACATCGTCTGAGGGCCCCTTCTATCAATGCAACCCGCACTACAGATGTGTTCTGCGGACATTCACAATGCCAGGCGTTTGGAAGGTCGCGAGTGGATTTTACATAATTCGTCATCTAGGAAGAGCGAAGACACACAAGAGTAGCAACAGCACTCTTATTTAACAATTTCGTAATTCGTGATGAACCGGAATCATGTGCACAAATAGGGAGGACAATTCAGAGGGACTAATTCTTATGAAACGCCATTTGTGGGACTTCCATGACTATCCCCGTGCTCTTTACACAGTCTTACAATCACTACACTACCACACACGTTGGGAGTTCATAGATAGTTTAGACTGGAGCAGTGCTCGGCTGGGGAAGACACATTCCTTGAGCCGGCGTAGAGGTGGACAGCTAATATTTCTTTTTTGCCGGGGAGAAACCACGCCACTTTCGGAAATATTACATGTATTATACTTAAGGGACAAATGATAACGGCATCAGTGACGCTACATATTCACAGAATTAGAAATATTCATTGCGTTTAGGTACCGACCATCAAGAATAGAAGTAATAGGATCGTGGGTCAAGACGGCATCTAGATGGAGGGAGGATAATCATATATCGTGCCAAACGAATTAAGTTGTAAATACCCCACGACGTGTGTACACGCCGGCAAGCGAATTAAAGCGTAAGTTGAACATAAGGTGTATTCACGTTGGACGCAACAGAATTCAGGTGCAAATTATTTGTAGCGTGTATACACGTTACGAAGCGAAATACGGTGTAAAAACTCCATGACGAGTATACACGTTGCAAGCGAATTAAGGAGTAAATACTACATGATATGTGTACACGTTGGCAAGCGAATTAAAGTGCAAATACGACATGACGAATATACACGTTGGCAAGTGAATTAAGGTGTAAATACTCCATGACGAGTATACACATTGGCAAGCGAATTAAGGTGTAAATACGCCATGACGTGTATACACGTTAGCAAACAAATTAAAGTGCAAATACGCCATGAGGAGTATACACATTGGCAAGCGAATTAAGGTGCAAATACGCCATGAGGAATATACACGTTGGCAAGAGAATTAGGGCGCCTTCGCACGCCGCCACGGCAGCGCGCGTCCGTCAATCGGCAGGGCTCTTCGCCGACCCTCCGGCGACGACGAACAAAGGGACCGCACCAGCTAGAACGCAGCGACCGGAGTCGCAGTGGGAAGGCTCCCATTTAAAGCTGCGCTTCGCGTAGCGCGAGCCTTGACGGCAGCGCGCTGCCGCCGCGACGTAAGAAGGCGCTCTACGAGCGGTGAAGTTGCAGCTAGAGTGCGCGCACCTGTTGACGGTGATCATGGCGATTGAGAGCAGCGAGACGCCGACGTTTGCGTAGCGCAGCGTGGGCAGCAGCGTGCAGAGCGCGGGGCCGTGCTGCCAGGCGCCGCCGGCGGCGAAGCGCAGCACGGCGAAGGGCAGGACGGCGGCGCAGAAGAGCAGGTCGGCGGCGCACAGCGAGCCCACGAAGGCCGCGGCGGCGGCCGAGGCGCGCACGCGCGGCGACCGCCACAGCGCCAGCGCCGTCAGCGCGTTGCCCAGCACGCCCGCCGCCGCCAGCAGCGCCGTCGCGCCCGCCGCGAACGCAGACAGACCCGCCGGGATCCTGCCACGCACAGCGCGCCCACGCTTCAACACGGCTTTGCCACCGGCAGTCGCGGCAGTGGAGAGGACGGGCGGTGAGGAAGGGCAGCGAGGAGAGGCAGAGAGGACAGACAGTGAGGACGGGTGGTGTGGATGGGCGGTGAGGAAGGGCAGTGAGGACGAGTGGTGATGTGGATGGGCGGTGAGGACACAGGGAACGAGTGATGAGGACGGACATTTAGGTCCAGATGTAAGGACATGCAGTGATGACGAATGACGAGTGGTGATGACAGGCAGATGGGACAGTGGTGTGGACGGGCAGAGAGAACGCTCGGCGAGGACGGGCAGAGGGGGCGAGCGATGGGACTGGACAATGAGGATGGTCAGAAAGGACCCTCGGTGAGGACGGGGGCAGTGACGCAGCGAACGTTACTGCCCCACCGCGCACGCACACACACACACACACACACACACACACACACGCACGCACTTAGAACGAGCCAGTGCCTTCCCATGCCACACATTCACTCTCGAAAGTTGTTATAGTTATTAATGAAATACATTGCGTATGGGCGCGTCACCTGATACGTACATAAGTACCGTAAGTGAAGTGCATGCTTTTTCGCGGGAGCTTGCGACGATCTTCCCCTTGGATGGCGAGATCTGGCGCTGATCTACATGTCGGCTTGCAGCTTTTTTACGATCCAGGTAACTCCCACCAGCCGGGACAAGCTCTAAGCTCCCGACCGGTCTCCCGGCAAGTGTGGTAGTGTAGTGCATGTGAGTGTAAGGAATAGGGCAGAACAAGGAATGACAAAGAAAGATCGCGCGCGGTCCGTGGGCCGTTTGTTAACGTACTGCTCCGGCATTGCGTGTTGTTGATCGGAGAAACCACATAAAACTACCGATCATAGCAGCAGGCCACTAAAATTCTCCTTCATGCAGCGACTGAATTCAACCCAGTTCTCTAGCTAGTCGCCATGGAGACTCGCCACTCTCGAGACCTGAACCCTAAGGCCTCCTGGTCGCTGTAGAGTCATCGGCAATGACATCTCTGAGCTTAAATCAACCGGTAAGGAACAGACTTTGTAAGTGGGGCAGCAGGACAGTGGCCGAGATATGTGTGGCAACAAATAAGATGTGCACACTAGGGATGGGCGATTATTAAAAAAAATATTATCTCATCCATTAACGTCACTGTTCAATTAATGTAAATCGATTAATCATTCTGTTTTAATGCGTTAATATATTATCGATTTACTTTTCACGGTTTTATAATTGATGGAACTTTGAAATCATTAATTTTTAGTTTGTGCATAAGATGTCAAAATAAACTAAAGTAATCGTTTAGTGGTTGGATATTGAGAAGTGATTATTAACTACATGTACTCACGAGGTAAACAACTATATTTAAATTTAAAATGAAAATTATTGGGAATGTTTTAGAATCCGTAACTCTAATATTCAGCTGGCTTAAAATCAATGTTCATTTGATTTGAATGTTTTAATTAATCATGTATTAAAAACAAACAAGAAATAAACAGAACGATAAATAAATAAAGATAGAAAGAAAAAGGAAGTATTACAATAATGTCTTGTTTCCCTAATCGCGATTAAATCGCCCATCCGCAGCTCACACTGAGCCGCTGCTGTTCCTTTCGTCTCCGATTGTAGAGCAGAGCGCGTCGGCGCTGCAGTTGACTTCGCCCCCCCCCCTCGCCCACTCGCTACGCCCACGCGCTTCGCCCACTGCTGCAGCCTCTGGCCACGGGCGGACAACGAGAGGAGCAGGGTGTGGAGGGAGGGGGGAACACGAGTAAGATGGTGAGGAACAATGAAAGAGAGATGCACAAGAGTGGATGGGACAGAGGGGAAACGAGTGAGAGAAATGGGGGAGAGAGTGGGAAATTGAGTCAGAATGACGATGGGGAAAGAGCATTAAGGGAGGGAATTTCAGGAGAGAAGACTACAAGAAACATGGAGAGAAAGAGTGGAAGACAAGGAAAAGAGAAAGAGAAATAAAATGAGAGAGAAAGAGAGATAAAGAGAGAGCGGGGAGCAGCACTAAACACTTGAACGTCGGCGCATAAAATTAGAAATCATTTATTGATTAAATGTGATCAGAGGAGAAAAAAATATGGCAGAGGAAAGTAATAGGAAAGATAAATAAGGAAATATCATCGGAGAAAGGAGAGGAGATGGTGAGCTGGAGTGCAAAACGAGAAGAGAGAGGAAAAAAAGCATCAAAATGACAAAAAAGGTGTGTGAGAGAGAGACTATACTGAAAAATGTGCAACCGCTGGTATGACTTCCAGGAGGCCTAGAAAACGTCCTTCAAAGGCTTCGGGCAAACTGTTCCGGAGTTTCAGCGAGGTGGCGCGCACGCAGTGCGGCTTCTGCTCTGGGCTTCGCGGATCTGCGCATGCGCGCCTTCCTGATAATTCCTGATTGTTTCGTCAGACACAACCGTGAGAATTGGGTCTGAGGAAAGCATGTGCTTGGAAGTAGAAATGCGACATCGATAGCATCGATCGAAAACGCAAACATTGATGTTTATTGGAATTGGAATTGATGCTGCAATTCATCGCCTACAAAACATTTTTCAACATCGATGTTTTTAAAACTGGTTTAGTAACATTAAACAACCGCGTGAAAGAAATGGGGAAGAATGTAACAGTTGACAGTTCCTGAGCTTATTACCGTATAATTAAGATTTGACTAAATAGAAGTAAAATAATAATAGCAATTATCTATACAATGAGGGATAATTACGCTCCTGAAAACTGTTCAAACAATTGGAAGCTTATTGGTCAGAGCAGCCCGGAAGGCCCGCGTTCGAATCCCGATTGGGGCGACCAAGACTTTGAACAAATTTATTTATCATTATAGTAACATCTTTTTTATAGAAAAAAATATGAACGACGCGTTTTATAGTTACATTAATGTTAATACAACAACATGGATGTTTAGAAAACATGATGTTACTATGCAGGCAGGCCTCGAAACCATCGCCGCGGGTGTTGGGCTGTAAGTGCTAAGCTGAGCTGAGCTGTAAGAGGCGGTGACCGCGCGCTCATCGGCACGCAGCTCACGCACGCGCACGCGCCCACGCCCTCGCGCCTTCCCGGGCACGCGACGCGCGCACGCCCCCGCGCCACCAGCCTCCTTGTTGTCCCGAGGATATTACCATCTACTTGACAGCAGCTAGCGGCTGGCAGGGGAGAGGTAGCTCAGGGTATTAACTGCAGTCCCTCTGACCAGGAGGTATTAGGACTCCACTCCACACAGTGGCAAGACTTTCCAACAAATAATATACTCGTACAATACCAAAAAAGACTTTCGACACTAGCTAGGTTGAATTCAGTCTGGAGGGAAGTCTAGCGGCCGGCCGCTCTGATCGGTAGTTTTTCGTGGTTTCTCCAATCACCAGGCGAATACCGAAACAGTGCCCTTATAAATGGCCCACGGACCGTGCGCGACCTTTCCTTCTTCTTCCTTGTCCCTTGCCCTATCCTCATCCATTACTTACACACACACACTTACATGCACTGCACTTCTACACATATCTGGAGGCGAGTCGACAGCTTAGAGCTTGTCCCGGCTGGGGTTTTCTGCTGGTGGCAGATACCTGGTTGGGGGAAACCCCGTTAGCGTACGGTAGGTCGGGGCCGGAAGATCATCGTCATGATCATGATAAAAGCAAGCGCTACGCTAACAGCACTAATAACCTTAGTTGACGCGCCCGAATCACTAGTAATGAATTAATCAAAGTGACCGTCAACTACTAAGGTCATTACTTCCGTAAGTGTAGTGCAGGCTTTTATCGCCGGAGGTTGCTGGGATCTTCGTCCGGGGGATGGCTACATCCGGTGCTGACTTACAGATCCGCTTTGAAGTCTTGCCTCAAGCAGATTTCCTCAGCCAGCAGGGTACCGCCCCAGCCGGGACAAGCTCTAAGCTGTAGTGCATGTTATTGTGAGTAAGAAAGGAAAGGAAGAGGAAGGAAAGATAGCGCGCCGTTTAGCCGTTTGTTAGGGTACTGCTTAAGCATTCGCCTGTTGTTGATAAAACAAACCACGCGATTACAGCAGCCGGCGGCTGGAATTGTCCCCAGACAGCTGGTGAAATCGACATAGCTAAGTAGGTAGTGTCTAAATTCCTGCCATCATGGAGAGTGGAACCCTATGACTTCCGCTCAAAGGCACTGCAACTGATGATCTGCGTTGATCTGTTGATATGTTAATAAAGGATAATAACTGCAATATTTTATTCGTCATTTGTTTGTCTTTGGTGCCGTGCCGGGAAGGAAGACAGCCGCGTGCGCGAGTCCGCGGCGTGAGGAGATTGCGCGCGCGAGGGGTCGTGGGCCGTGGAGGGGGAGGGAGGGGGCGGCGTGCGCCGAGAGTGCGCGAGGGAGGAGGGGAGGCGGAGGGGGCGGGGCTAAAGACGTGAATGGGGTAATGGTCATTCCGGGCCGGATGCGCGTGGGATCCTCGGCTCCAGGGCGCGCGATGGAAGATGCCTCGCGCGCGCACAATGCGATTGCATAAACTGAGACAGACAGACAGACAGACAGACAGAGACACAGAGGGGGTGGGGAGAGTGAGGGAAAAGGGACCGTTGTGGACCAAGGTGGCTCAGGGCATCAATAGACGCCACTGCAGTGCCTCTGACCGGGACGTCCTAGGGTTACACTCCCCACGGTGGCAGCATTTTCCACACTACCTACACAGCTAGGTTACGAGGGAAGGTATTGGGAGAGGTGGCTCAGGGCATCAACTGGTGGCACTGCAGCCCCTCTCACTGGAAAGACCTAGGGCTGCCCTCTCCTCGGTGGCAGCATTTTCCACACTACCTACACAGCTAGGTTACGAGCGAAGTTACTGGGAGAGGTGGCTCAGGTCGTCAACTCATGTCTTCGCAGTGCCCCTGACCGGGA